TTTTTAACTCCGGTCATTATTTTATGCACAAGACTTGTCTACTCACCTTGAGCAGGTCATCCTTCACGTCAATGGTGAGAAGGGACCTACTAGCTGATGAGTAGGCAAGTCATTTTGTGTAAAAATGCATCCGCCAATAACAACCAATCACCGAAACCATGAACTTGACCCAAAAGAGTAGATTCATGAACATGAATGCAAATTAAACTACAAGAGCTTGACGAGAGCGTCTTTATTTGTCGGAGGGGTCTCGAGCTTCGATTCGACCTCCTTCAGCTGGTGTTGAAGCTTCAGTCTTTTCTTTCTTTCTTTTTTTATTTATTTATTTTAAGGTAGGGTTATCATGATTTCTATTTTGTTGCCTCAGTTGACATCATTATATACTTAATGATGTAGTCATTGATATAGATATTGTAGAGTCCTGAAGATGAATTATCACTGCATTTCTTATAAAGTGATAAGAAATAGCTCCAGATCATAAGTCGGATGGACACTTGCCCATTTACCCAACAACTTAAGCTTTTAGATAGTACTACATACTCACTCATTTATACCTAATCACTCTTTCATCCGAATTCGACGTAGGACAAATACACCCTTGTAACACCAAGCAACTCTTATTTTTTGAAAAAATATAGCCAACTCTAAAATTTAATTAAGGAAGAAGGTCGTGAAAGTGAACATTCAATTTATTAATGGCCTTATCTGTGATGAACATAGTGGATCACCTTGTTCATAAGACCAAAGTGTGACTCTCACTCTCTCTGCACAACACTCTTGCATAGTATTCTGATAACTTGATTGATGTTATCCTATTACGTTGTTTTTTTCTTTTATCTTTATCACAGTTCTTTTTACCTGCAGGAAAAAATAAACTCAGTCACTGACATCCTTAAGGAAATTTTAAAACCTGTAGTTGATGAAGTAGAAGAGATTCCTTGGCCTCCTCCCCCTTATTGCTGTATTAATTCAACACTAAAGATCCTTGAGTTGACGCATTCCAATATCGTGTACCAACCTTTTGAACGTCGTAGTTGGTAGTGCTTTAGACCCTTAACTAGTGACTAGTGAGGGTAATGTGTGTTGCAATATTGATGTGTGTGTGTGTTTGGTTGATTCAATTAGCAAGGGTGACCAATTAAGCATACATTGTCTAATCAATATGTGAAAAGCACAATAGAGTGAAAAACAAAGCACCAGTATATTTCCTTCCATCAGTTTCTGAATTTCGGTGCATCTCAGTTCTTAGGAAGAGGGTCATTGTAATCAATGCCATTACAGTAAGCTATAAGAAAGAGAGAGAAATGTATCGTTAATAATGACACTAACACCAAAATCAGAATATTTATATATATATATAGATATATGAAGGAAGACATACTTGTGCAAGATTGAAGATGTAGACAAATGAATTTCTCTTCATCAGCAAAAATTCTCTAGAGGCGCACGCTTTCAAGAGCTCTCTCTTGCTAACACCATACTTTCTGGCTGACAAAGCAGCTGGGTGTCTTTTGGTCTTGTCAAATGGGGTTGCAAGCTCGTCTTCTAGTTTCTGTCCGACATGGAATGACTTGAACGCCTCAGCAAATTCGTTTACTATAAGGCTCATCTTTACATGCCCAATACTGCTTCTGATCTTTCTTTGATGTCACCTGTAGTAATATATATAGTTAGTTTTCACTTTTTTTTATGCTCTGCATCTTATCAAAGGAAAATGGGATTGTAAGGACTTACACTTCGCGGGACTATAAATCCTGAGAATATGTTCCATAATCCATAAAATGCAGAAGCAACAATGGAAGCAATATGATGGTTCGGAGTCACAGCCACAGTCATCATGCCATAAAATGTGTACTATAATAATGTGAAGTACATGAAGAACAAGTACCAAAAGAATTTGGCAACACTCCATTCAAATCCGATCATTGCATAAACTATAACACCATATACTGCAGCTTGTGCAAAAGTATATGGAAGCTTAATAGCAACCTGCAAAGGAGGAAGAAATTTCATTAAGGGACATGACCAAATAAGATATACGTCATTTACATGAATTGTGAAGTTTGTAGTGAATGAATACTAGATACCTGACCAAAGGCATATGGCAAAGCCGAGTACATTCCAGCAGCTCTTTCTCTGTAGAAGACTGTTCATTCAACAGCCACCACTGGCTGCACCGGTGAGGCATTCCTTAAGAAGAGAGCAACAGCATACATAGAACCCATAGCATTAAAAAGATCTTGTTGCCTTGTCCTGCAATATACATCAAGATTAGATTGAAATGGAAATTGGGAATACAATAGTTTGAACTTTTTAACTGCTTTGATTCTATTTTTATAACTCACCTTTTGGAACCAAGGCGCCAGAACATTGTCCCAAACATCAATGCTATGAAGGTTGTGAAAAAAAACCTCACTGCAGTATATGGTGAATTACGCCAATATGACCAATGTTGCTTCCATCCATGCATTGGGTGAAGAATGACTGTGAATATTGAGTAGGAGGGAAATAAAGGTCCTTTGAACCAGGACGAGGTGTGCTCAATTCTTTGATTAAAGCTTTGTTTCACCTGAAAATAATATCACAAAATTTAGATGTGCAACAGGGAAAGGCTATTAAAATATTTATCAGATTTCTAATGCTGGTAAGGATAACTTCTCAATCTCATTATGTGCTTTATATTTAAACCAAACTATATAATTCTGAACTCCTATAAACTTCAGTGAAATCGACCCCCAAAGCTGTTTCCTGCGCTGAAGTAGTAACTTCCAACATTCAAGTTGCTGGATTGTAGCCGTCTTTAATTTGACTTATTCCTTCAATTCCCTTGTGAAAAAAGCAAGTGATGTGCTAGTGAGTAAATTTTGACCAATTAAAGCTAGAAGTATATTGTCATTAGTCGTAGTTTCCTTTATATTTCATTTCATCTCACCTCAAAATAATTGATTAGATGACAAGAATGGCGACCTAGTGGCCTAACATATATCTCTTGTCCTCCTCGCTTCATTAGGAAAAGCTGCAAGTCAATTTTTTATATGTCAATATATATATATGATAGAAAGAAATCATAGAAAATGCTAATTCTTATTATAGATTAACAGTTCTTACCTCATCAATAGCTTCAAATATGTCAATGCCTGGTTGATGGATGGTACATACAACAGTTCTTCCTGTGTCTATAGTATTCCTAACCTTTCTCATCACAATTGCAGCAGCTCTTGCATCTAGCCCTGAAGTTGGTTCATCTATAAAAGTTATGGAGGGATTTGCCACCAGTTCAACAACAATGGTTAGTCTCTTTCGCAGCTCAGTTGAATGGCCATTAACACCCGGCAACCCAACAAGTGCTTCCTTTCATGGGGTCAGCTCCACGAGTTCCATGACCTTCTCAATGAACATCTGCCAAAATGAGTGAGTTAAATAGTCAAATGCAACATTAGTGCTCTTTTTTATTTTTTTTATTTTTTCAACCCATCCTTCAGCCCTAGAAGTTTCGTATAGTGATTAGTTGGTGGTTTTAGAAGAAAAATAAATAATTGAATCTAGAGACTTCTGCTGCTATGTTTCCACTCACATATAGAACCGCTCATTTAGCAAATCCAGTAAAACTCATCTAAAGCCAGTTTTGGACAATTTATGTTTTCATTTAGCTTATAATTCCAGTTTTCTTTTTTTTTTTTTTTTTTTTTTTTTTCTTTTTTATTTTATAATAATAATAAATAAATAAATAAATAAAATATCATAGCAAATGAGTAGCTTTAGCAGCACCATGTGAGGCAATGTGAAGGTATCTTCTCAGTTCAACAACAGAATAGTAGATTAAGGCAAAATGCTCAATTATGCTAAGTGATGCCCATGAACTCCTTAAGCATGGCTACCTTAGCAGTCAAACCAAGAAGACACAAAGTTCAAATCTGATCAAATTTGGACCAGCTGAAATTGCACAAAAGTAGGTTCAACTTTCTTGTTGAATTCAAGATAAACTCCCGTACGACTAGAGCACAGCCAAGTCAAGTTCAATAACCCGATTCTCTGTCTCTTTTGCTTACTCACAACTCTTACGAAAAATGCTTCAGAAATACTAACCTTTCTGGTTTCAGAATTGACTTCTAGAGGTAATCGTAGCCAAGCTGAGTAGAGCAAGGACTCATAGACAGTAACATGAGGGGAATGGATATCATTTTGCTCACAGTACCCAGAAATTCAAGCAAATGCTTGTTGCTTCTTTGGATACCCAGAAATTGTATTGTTATCCTCAATACATCCACCAGTTTTCCTACCAGCGAGCACGTCCATCAGAGTTGTTTTACCGGTACCACTAACACCCATTAGAGCTGTAAGAACCCCTGGCCTGAAAGCTCCACTAACTCCCTTCAGAAGCACCAATCTATCTTCAAGGACACCCTGATCTTTCATTTCCTACAAGTCATATTTATACAATCACTCCTTGCTTTTAGACCGTGTTACCTTAAAATAAGTAATTCTCTGCCTTCAAACACACACAAACACATCGATTGTGCAAGCTTTTAGTTACCTGTGGCATGTCAACAGAGTATTTAATTTCATCAAAGGTGATAGAATGCGGTTCAAATGGAAGAATCATTCCTCTATTCCTATTCGGATTGGCGTCAACAATGTCGTTTGTCCTCAACGATGAGGATCCCACTGTGATACTTCTCCTCCTAATTTGATCTCCTCTCTCAGCATGCAAAAATAATACTAGTCAGTGGCGTAGCTAGGAATTTCCTTCAGTGGGGGCAATTTTTAATAGCAATAATATATATATATATATATATATATATATATATAATTTGAACAAAAATAATATATGTAAAAACTAAAACATTGATTCATAATATTTCTATTCAGTACATTCACAACTGCCCTCGACGATTTTTCATATTCTGAAAGCGTTGAATAATAATATCATTGTCAACAGTACTAAATATGTCTCTCTCAATATACATAACCATCATATCATTCATCCATTGGTCTTCCATTCAATTGTGCAGTTGAGTTTTCAAAATATTCGTGGCAGAAAAAGCCGTCTCCACTGTGGCAGTAGCAACCGGCAAAATCAATGCCAATTTCAAAAGCAAGTAAACTAATGGATAAGCCTTGTCTCTTTTTGTCTTAACCATTCTTCGAGCAAGATCACCAATTCCTTTTAAATTTGAAAACTCCTTGTTAGAGCACATATCAATAATATAAGTGTTTAGTTGATCACCAAGTTTCAGGAGGTCTAACGGAGCAAAATCTCTCGGATAAAATTCAGCAAGTCGGATTAGTTTTTCCTTGTCAAAAGAAGCGAATGAATTATCTGGACACAAACACGATATACAAATAAGCAACTCAGTGTTTGACTCACTGAAACGACTATTCAGCTCTTGAAGTTGCATGTCCAACATAGCATAAAACAATTGCACACGATAGTAATGCAAATTTGTGATTTCATTAGCTTTACGTCGTGATCGCCCTGGAGTTACAAGTGTATCATTCATGTTAGGAACTTCAATACCATGTTTTTCACAAAAAGAAGAAACTTGATCGAGTAAAGAATCCCAACCATTCTCTCTCATCATTTGAAGTTCTTTTTTGCATACTTTAATCAAGGACATATCATTTACAATGTCTTGATTTTTCTTTTGTAGCGCCTTTGACAATTCATTTGTAACTCCCAATATAGCCCTCATCAAATGGAGAGTAAAGACAGAACTGAATGACTGCATGAGTGTCAATAAAATTTTTGCTTCAGATCTCTGTTCAACATATGATCCATCATCTGTAATTATCTTAAGCACATCAATAACAGATGAGAACATAGAAATCAAGCTGATTAAAGTATCATAGTGAGAGCCCCAACGTATATCACTAGCACGCTTCAAAGTGGTATTTTGATTAAGACCCCGTCCACTTTCAATTTCACCATTATTGAGTGCTTCAATAACCATGGTAGCTTGTTTTTAAAGAAGAATATCACGACGTTTACATGAAGCCCCAAAAACATTGACCACATTAGCAACATAGCTAAAAAAAGTGGTGATATCAACATGACTTTTTGCAACTTTCACAAGAGCTGACTGTAGTTGATGAGCAAAACAATGGACATAAAAAACACATTTATTTTCCTTTAAAATTAGTGTTTTTGTAACGTCTCAAAACTAATACTTTTTAAACAAAAAAAAAAAAAATTCGGCATGACCTCCCCTAAAAATAGGCCTATCACAACCTGTTTAATTGCATTTTTAACCTGTCACGGCTCAAATTCCGAATTCACTGCAATAGTAGATTATAATACACAATCAAATGACCTCGATAATACCTCAAACTAGTATTACTCTCCCCATGCATCAATAAGGTTTACATGTTATCAAATTCACATCCAAAATATCATCAAATACCTTACATTACATAACAAAGTTTTGCAAAATATACATATACACCTTCACACTTTTAGTGCTTTGCAAAAATAATGGGAGATATACAAAAGACACAAAAGTGAGCTTTTAGTATCGCTCAAGCTTGAGGTGGGTTGTCGTCCACCGGTTCTTTTCCAAGACCTGAAAAAAAATATATAAATAGTAGGGTGAGCTATATGCTCAGTAGGTGACACTTAAGACACAATTCTTGTGTCCTAATGAATCCAATCAAAGCATAGGCCAATGGGAGATAGGGATCATACAACATAGGGGATCGAATACAACATACAATTCAATTCCAATTATAAATAATGCAATGCAATGCAATGAAATACAATGCATGTCAATGACACTCCCCATTTTCATTCTCAAAACCATCACTTTCAAACGTTAATACAGCCCGCCCTTTGGTAACCCCGCCGCGACACGAGAGGAGGATTGGCTAGTGTCCCTGACCCTTGGTAACCCCGCGGCGTCATTATGGGGCCCAGCTAGCTCAACCACACTAGGGCGACTCCCTAGTCCCTTCTAGGCTATATTAATCTCCGGCCCGTTGGTAACCCCGCAGCGACCGGGTTTGTCAAAACCAATTTTTTTTTTTCCAAAACATTCATTCCCAAATCCCCATTTTCATTTCAAGACAACCACTTCCCTTTTTCATGCAACCCAATGAGATGTAGGCTCATGTCATGATCTCAATATAATGACAAATGGGAACTTAGCACAATAATAAATAAGCATGTTCTCATAGCATCATTATAGCATGTTAGTAACCTAAAAAAAAAATGTAAACAACCATCACATAGACATACTTTTCATTCAACCATGTTATACACATTTACATAACTAGCATGTTGTCAATTAAATCATTTTAATCAAAATCAACAACAATTAAACATACTATAACACACATAGAGGAGCATGATTCATTATAGAGCAAGATTCCATGGCTTAAGATGTCCCTACCTCAAAAATGAGCAAACCCTAGAAAATGGGTCCTAAATTTCGAAGTCCAAAGGGTGCACCAAATCTGGAATTGTTGGTATGGATGTGTAGAGCTCGACACAAGCTTCGTTTTGCCTCAAACGGCACCTCAATCCGACAAAAGATGAAGGAGTAATCAACAATGGAAGCTTGAAATGAAAAGAAAAGAAAAAAAAAAAAAAGACAAGAAGGAGAAGCAGAGGCGTCTGTCGGGAGAGAGAGAGAAAGGCAGAGACCAATTTTGGTCTAACAATTCACTTAAAAAGTGATGTGGGTCCCACTTCTTTTATAATTTCTTTTTCTCATTTCCTTTTTCATTTAAATCACACACCACACACACACAATTATATACAAACATCACAGTTTTAAGACCATTAAATTCACCTTGCATATTACTAGCTCCATCATATCCTTGCCCGCTAGTTATACTCAGTCCATGCTTACAAAATAGTTCATCAATTGCCATCTTAAGTGAAAGAGCAGTGGTACTTGTAACATGTTCCACACCTATAAAATGTTCAATTACATCACCATCCATATCCACATAACGAAATACAACAGCCATTTGTTCCTTTGTTGAGATGTCACGAGATTCATCAATCATGATAGAAAATAGTTCATCTCCAATATCACTAATAATAACGTTAATAGTTTCAATGGCAGCAGCATTCACAATATCCTTTTGAATATCAGGTGAGGTTAACTTAAGATTTTCAGGAGCATTCTTTAATGCTACTGATTTAACATTCTCATTATGATTAGCAAGAAACTTTAAAAGCTAGAGGAAATTTCCTTGATTACTTGAATGCTCAGATTCATCATGACCACGAAATGCAAGCCCTTGTTCTAACAAATACCGAATGCAATCAATTGATGCAGTCAAACGCTTTCGATAATCAATTCGAGTCTGGTCTGATTGCTTGAAAATTATTATTTGAATGTGTTGATTTTGATTCTTTAAAGCTTCATATTGATTCCAAGCTTGGTTGTGGGCACTATTTGGCCCTCCAACATGAATTTGAAGTCTGTCTTTCTTCTTCCAATTTGAAAATCCTTCACTAACAAAAGAGTCACCACCTGATTGTTCTCCTATATTATGCTTAAAAAGATAGCAATATAAACAAAATAATGCATCTTTTGAAATGCTGTATTCTAACCAATTAGAATAATCATTAAACCAATCAGGATTAAATCGTCTTAACGCTGATGCTTGTCCAAATTTCTTTTGTGGAAATTTATGTTTCCGAGGTTGACAAGGACCCTTTAGTATATGTGCTCTACGAATTTGGTCTTGAATATTGGGATTGTAATCTATAATCCTAGTTAGTAACCTAGGATCTGAAGGAAGATTTGGTAAGTCAATTTCCATACAACTTTTTTTTGGGTTGTCATCATTTCTTTCTTGAGGTTGATCTGAAGGAAGATTTGGTAAGTCAATTTCCATACGACTTTTTTTTAGGTTGTCATCATTTCTTTCTTGAGGTTGAGGGAATGGTAATTCTTGTATTCCTTTGTAATATCTTTTCAGAGTATTCATTGCTGTTTCAAAAATGAGTTCATTCAAATAATGAACTAAATATACTAAAAAAAAAACAATCATATTCAATGAATGAAGAATAAAATATGAAAAAGAAAATAACATAGTTACTCAAATCTTACTCTTCTAATATATTCTATATCACATATGAAAAAATAACTAAAAATAAAATTACAAGATAATTGATGACCAATTTCATTCCAAAAAATTTCATGTTAACAAACATTCTTAATAAGTAATAACTACCATGTCTATCAATCTACTCATAATAAAAATTCATTCATATTAAAAATAAAATAAAAAAACAAAGATATGAAGATAACTAACCTTATAAGTTAAAACCATATAATCCAATCAATCGAAAAATTTGATAGAGTAAGTGAATATGTGATTTCATTGATTTGGGCTGCAAGTCTGCAAATTAAAAAAAATACAATTACACAAACTAAATTTTGAAAGAACAAGCCCTAAAATAATTTTGATAGAAATAACTAATAATTTTTCTAATTAAAATAATAATATCAAATAACAATTGTAAATTTAGATGATAAAAAAAAAATAGTACGACTTACCAGAGTCTCTGTCTACTGGTAAAATAGTATGCTTGCTCCGCTTGCTTTTTTTGAATTGTGAATTTGTGAAATGTTGAAGACTTGCGTAAAGAAAAATATTGAAGAGTGAAAAATTGAAAATGCGATGGAAACAACGCATTTGCCTATGGTAAAGTTAAAAAAGTGATAATATCTTGTATTTTTTGAAAAAAGTGGGGAAAAATATTATATTTGGAAAAAGTCAAAAAAATATCATATTATTTGGGAAAGTAGAATATAATATTTTAGGAAAGTAGAAAAAATATTATATTTTGTGGTAAAGTGTAAAACTGTGAATGAGCTTTTGATTTTATATATATAGTATATATATATGTGCACTGTCCAACCATAAAATCTTTCCATATAAAAAAAAAAAAAAAATAAAAAAAATTAAAAGTTCAGTGGGGGCAGTTATCCCCACTTGTCCCTCTGTGGCTACGCCACTGATTTTTATTCATCATTTTGGTTTGAACATAAAATGAAGGGCATAAATAATCAAACCAAAAGCTAAGAAAAAGTCCCTTTCAGTTTCAGGGGGGGCAGGTGACCAAATTAATGGGCCAGAGTGATCCACTAGTTTTTGTTGGCATTTGTAAATGCAAACATTTTGGTCCGTGGTTGGATGCAAAATACAAGTCCAGCCCATAGGGAATGATCCAATCACACACTTCTATGAACATGCACATTAAAAACTAAAGTGATCTGATAATGGTAAAAATGCCCCTTAATATAATTTTTTTTTTTAAAAAAATTAGGTTTTTAAAAAATAATTTTCATTTGTTCCTTCTAATTTTAAAAAAACATAAGAAAATTTTAAAAATTAAGCACCATTAATATATGTATTTTAAAAGTTTTCTTTAAAGTGATTTTCGTTTTAGGTTTTCTTTTCATTCTAATTTTTAAAAATAGAAAATTTAAAAAATGCAAAAGAGTTTCAAGATATTTTCATTTTCTTATAGACCCCTCTTATATATATATATATATAATTGATTTTTCTGCTCCAGTATAACATTTTCTAATAGAAAAATGATGAAAAGTAGTAAGGTTATGTTTTACAGATATGAAATTGGAGTTTTAAAATTAGTAAAATTGGAGAAAAGCAACGAACCAAAAATTTCTCCAATTTTTTACTGCCTAACACATTTTTAACAATTTTCTTTTCACTTACTATTTTTTCTTTCCCGATCAAGAAGTAATTTTTCATCTCCTCATTTCATTTCCATTTTGAGTTCAAGAAGCATCAACTATAGGAGGTGGGGAAGGACCATCAATTGTATTTTACAAAGAAAATGGCATTAATGATGGTGACATCTTCTTGTTCCTGCCCATTATCTTCCACTTCTTCATCTTCAAAATTTCAAAGAATAAAGTATAAGATGTAAGAACAAAATTGCATTTAACAATTGAAATAAGTTCCCAAT